AAAACGTCAACCTTCCATGCATAATCATACATGCTTGATAGAAACAAGAATAATTCTGCAGACTAGAAAACTCAGATGGCTAAAGTAAGTGTGAAAGGAATTCTGAGCAAGAGGCACAGGAGTGAGTCAACGCCCTGGCATTTCTGAAAGTATTCAAAAAGCACAATATCAAAACAGTCTTTGTTATACACCACCTTATGTGAAAATGCTAAAGTAGTCTACATCAAACTCTTTTTCCCCTCAGTTCACTAAGAGTTACGTGGAAAAGAAAGTATGTTGCTAGACCTCAGCCTAAGATCCCAGAAGGGAGGGCTGCTTTCAGCCACCTGCGCAAGGGCATATCAGTAGTGTGTTTACAGACAAGGACATCACCACAAGCAAGTCTTTCTCTTCCACCTCAAAATCTAGGAAGGGGCAGGGTTCTTTCTACTCTCCTATCAGTCTAAGCAAAAAAGTCACTTTGAACATCTGTCCATAACCCATAGGGTGTTTAATAGAATAGAATCACAGAATCCTTAGAATTGGAAGGGACCTCCGAAGGCCAAATCCCCAATGAACAATGGGAATGAACAGGGACTCCACAGTTAGACCAGGTTGCCCACGGCCATACCCAGCCTTGCTTTGAAAATCTCCAGGGATACGGCATAGCCACATCCCTAGGAACCTGTTCCAGTTTCCAAGATCAAGAGTTTAAGAACTAGAAAAAAAAACAAATTGAAAACAAAAAAATTATGATTTCCTTCAACATTTCTTTCCTTTTCCATGACTTCCAGTATAGTAATGTCAAAGGCATTCACGTTTACCCATTATCGAGGCTCAGATGAAGTCCTCCAAACAATGTTACCTGAAAGATACCAGTATTCTTATGTACTTTAGAAGTTACCAAAACCAACAAATGCTTTAAAGAAAATAGCTGACATCAAACATACAGCATAGGGAAAAAGCAAGCATTTGAGTCAGGTTCTCATATCTCGTAGAGGAAGTAAGTTCCAGTTATTTACATCTCTTCCAACAATGCCAGTACAACAAACAAAAACACATACCAGCATTAAGAAACACCCGCCTACCAGAAATGGGCGGGTGTTACACTACTTTTATTCTGATAAAAAACAAAGGTAGTATTTCTTCAGAAGACACTGAATTCTATATTGCCTTCTCACATTGGTTTCGTAAGACTGTCACGCCGTTACACTATTAAGAAAAAAAACCATCAGCCATTTCACTGACATGAAAGGAATACAAATTCTGCCCTTCACAGCCCTGGTGTTTGCACAGCCATTTAGTGAGTTGCTGCTTAGTTTTATTAATATTATTATGGAAATGCATCCTATGCTTATTCTCAACTATGAAATTCTATTTCAATCCAATTTTGCATCTGGCAAATTTTAAGCGTGGACAGAAAATTCCTATCTCTTAAGCACTTGTCTTAGATAAAAATACCAATTTTGCTTCACACCCAGATGCTTCTAATGAGCAGGACATTTGTCATTTGGGCAACAAAAAACATTGCTGATTTAAATACCTGATCTTCTAATTGTAATGTTTAATTAATACATAGAAAATGCTCCTTCTAGCTTAAAACAAGTAAGACTCTTTCAACAAGATAGATAATCAGTGCTGCAGATCTCAGTTACTAACAGAAATGAATAACTTCATGCAGTTATTCTCTTCCACAAATAGTATTTTTTCTAGTCAGAAGGCTTAAGCATCTGCATCCATTAAAGCACACAGACAAAATAAGATCCTTTGCCTATTATACGCTATGTGCACTTATTGAATGCTTGGTTCTGTAGAACTCGTTTCTGTAGGTGTCTTCAGTGTAGTCTGAAAATTGAGATATACACAACCTTATATATACAATATATACAACATTACATCTGCTCAGACCAAACAGTCCAAAGAAATCTGAAAACAGACAGGGAAACACAAGCTTTAGAATAGTAATTTCAGCTTAAAAAATGTATTCTCTTTGTTTTAGGACTCCAAGCATTAATTTTTACTATTTCTATTTACTATTTCCATCCAAACAAATCATTAACTGGACAGGCAAGTATACCTCAATCTTATTACCACTTCGCAGTACAAAGAAAATTGAAATGATTAAGAGTAATAACTAACTATCAAAGCCACATCAAAAGGTGTTCAAGAAACATTTAGATATTGTCCTAAGGGACATGGCTTAGTGGGGAAATACTTGTGGTAGGTGGAATGGTTGGACTGGATGAACTTGGAATTCGTTTCCAACCTTGATGATTCTACGATTCTATGAAAACCAAGTTTATGCAGTACAGAGAAGTGTTCATTTTAAAAACATGAACTTTCTCTAATGTAATAGACATGTGGTTCATTTATGTGGTTTAAGACCATGACAAGATATTAGTACCGTTCTGAAAACTAGAAATTAATACTGAACACAAGCTTAAGAACCATATGTTTGTCTTCTTAATAATACCATAAAGTACATCAAGATGTGTGTTAATGCAGTTCTACTCGTCAATTCATTTCTTTACAATTAGCCTTGAGGACACACTGATGTCTTCTGAAGGTATAAAACCATGACATGAGGCAAAGACAATAACATTACATAAGACAAGGAGGAAAAAACCTCAGTTGTCCACATCTGCATTAAATATTGTGTTTACTGATTTCAGCACCAACGTATTAACTAGTGGTGCTTCACTTCTCTATAAATTTAGGGGAAGGGGAAAAAAATCACCATGGAAAACTTTCTGCACCACAAGGCCTGTGCTTTTCCTTTGCTAAGCAATTTCACACAGCACAATATTAGATTCTGCTTTTTGCTCACACAACTGCTCCTAAGTTCCTGTTATGTTCAGGTCTAGCTAATGCATTGACAGTATGTTCTCAAGAAATACTGACTGCTACAAACTACAGGCAATGACTTCTGCTGAAAGAGAATCATCTCCTTCCAGTAGATGGCATATTGTTAGCACTGTGTTATTTTTTTAAGCTTCTATCACGTGCTGTTGAAAAATGACTCAAAGTTCTACACAGGCAGTTAAGAATCAAGTGACTGAAGGCAGCTGCTGACCAGGATGGTGCAGTACCTCCAGTCTTATAAATCACCAGAACTATAGCAGAGCATCAGTGTCCTGTGCTACAGGATGGTATCACAAAAGCAAAACTTCACAACACAAAACAGTGCTTGAGCAGAGTTTTAAGTGAACAGTTTCACACTGATAGTTTCCATCCCTCAATTAGGGATGTTTTTTGGGTTTGATACTAGAGGCCTTTTTCCCAGATTCATCTCCTGAGCACTCAATGAGTCATTTATCTCAGTTTCATAAAACCCATAACATAAGAAAAATTGAAGCAACTTCCCCCACTTCTTTTAACTACATTTTTGTGCAAACCTGTGCAAGATGCAAACTTGTTTTTGTACTGCCCTGGTACTTCCTTTCCTCTTCAACACTGGCATAATTTAGGAAAGAATATGTTACTTCTAAATGAGTAGAACTATTAATCTAAATTCACAAGTTTCGCTTGGCTGCTAGTAGACTGCTTATTAAATCAGAAAGGAAACCTATTGAATCAGTCTGTTGCAATTCTCCTCTGAGTTTTATATTTCAAAGAGCATTGGAGTTGTTTATATTGACTGGCTCTATAGTTTCTAAACCACAAGCATTACAGAAAAATGAAAGTCACATACATAACCCTATCACCTCCCTCAAAAAAAAAAAAAAAAAAAAAAAAAAAAAGAGTGCAGAAGTAAAATAATTGAAGCATTATGATGCTCTTCACTTTCTCCTGCATTCAGATTTTACAGTTTCACAGTTCTGTGTTTGCGTATGCACTGAGAGGCGCTCCTGCCCCATCTTACTTTGAGTACCTAACAGGCACTTTCTTTTTGAAACTCCATGAACAATTAAGGCTTGAAACAAGCAGGAAACAAACAAACAAATTACAGGAACAAATGCCTTATCAAGCATTTTCCTGACACATGCACTCATCCTCTGATAATGTGCTTTATGGACTTAGAAGCTGATTCGGTACTACAGCACAGCAGAGAAACGTCATGCTTAAAATTTAGGTTAATTTTCCATCAAGCAATGGGAAGTTAACTGTGAGCAGTGTTATTAGGACACATCTACTCTGCACCCAGCATTAACTCTTCTTCTCTAAACTAGACAATGAGATAGAGTGTATCAGCTGTATCTTCCCCTGGCTAAACATGTTATGCCCACAGAACAGACAACATAGTAACTATAAGCAGCTGTGCAATGCACGTTATCTTATCAGAGCACTACATTTCAGAACAGTTTACATTTTGAGTTTGCAGTAGGTTTTGTTCATATTTTCTCATGACATGCTGTACTTGCACAGAAAGGAGTGCTGCTGGATTGCAGGAACTTTTCAATATTTCCTGGCATTGAGAAAACACTACAACACCTTACCTGTATTTCACCAGAAAGATTAAGGTCTCTGTTTGGATGCAAAAGCCTGAGCTGGGATAAGACTGTTGAATTGTTTGTTTTTCTGCACTCAATAGGGGAAAACGTTAGCACATTCTCCATTTCAGCATTTTTGGCTTCATTACTTCCCATGCTATTTGAAATGTTTAGATGTGGTACTAAGAGATGTGGATTAATGGGGAAATATCGGACTGGATGATCTTGGAGGTTTTTTCCAGCAATGTTGAGTCTATGATTCTATTGCTGCATATGGAGCAATATGGACAAAACATATGGAGTTTATATTTGTTCCCTGTCCTGTTTCATCTCATGAGCTGAGGGTCAACTTACACAGCAGCAGCTCTTTAACTAACAACATACAAAACCCAGAAATAACATACAAAAGATTCAGCATGCATCAGAGGATCAAGAGGGGGAGGGGGGAAGACAAGAATCAGACAAGATACCCATGCTTTAAACTTCCCAGCAGAAGCTGAAACCAGTGTTATTCCTACTGCAAATCCCAAGTCTAAAAGAATAAATAGCAAACAGAACAGAACTATAAGCAAAATAGCTCTCTTTACTCACCTAGTACTGAAGACCAGTGCAGGAAAAAGAGGCAGCAAGTAATAAGCAGGGAAGAATTTCATGATGTAGCCCCTCTGTTTCGTTCTGTTCTTCGCAGATCCTCTTCGCAGCGTCTCCTGTCTCCTCTGCCGACTGATGGATCGACTAATGAACGGAGCTTGGAGTGGGATGTGAGCTCCAGGAGTGATGTCAGAGGCAGCGAGCTGCTGCTGCGAGCCCACAGCCTGCTCGAGGCGATCAGTCAGCGTGCTGCCTCCAGCCGCGTCCTGGAGGGTTTGGTAGTGGTGGATGGGGAGGGACGTGCAGGCAGCAGCTGGCTTTGAGGTTACGGCAGAGCAGGGCTTAGGGATTCTGCCTGGAAGAAGACAGAAACGGTAATGAAAATAATATCAGCATTATCTAACTGGAGTCTAAATTTGTTTGAAATGAATCTATACAAGATTCACGGTACAGAGGCAATAACTGCTTGAAGGAGACATCATGTAACAAATCAGCCTGACAGACTGGATCTGGAGAGGTATCACCTCTGCACAGCAAGAATTTATAAATAATTGTCAGTTAGATATACATTCACTCCACTGCCACACCAAGTTGAAAAGTGGCAACAGTTTCCAAAATGCTATTTCAAAACAATGATATAATCTCTAAAAACCATACAGCAGCAGATACAACTCACAACTTTCAGAGCATTCTGTTTTATTATTTCATCTGATCTTACCATCGGATTTTAAAAAATACAAAGTAAAGCTCACTGTTAAAATGTTTTCATTTTAAGTATTCCTTACTCTGTCACAAGTGAAGTTTGTTGGATGGCAAATCATGCAACAATCAGAATCACCAAGGTTAGAAAAGGCCTCCAGTATCATACAGTCCAACCATCCATGTACTACCAGTATTCCCCACTAAACCATGTCCCTTAGTACAACATCAAAATGTTTCTTGAACACCTCCATGGATGGTGACTCAGCCACCTCCCCTGGGCAGCCCATTCCAGCACTTGACAACAGTACAATAATCGAATATCAAAACAAAAATTAGCTTTCTGTGTAGCACAAAACAAAACAAAACAAGCTTGCTTATAAGCAAAATCTGATAATTAGAAGAGAGAGTTCTATCTATTTGTTTGTCCGGTCATATGAAAGTCATCCAGAAACAACATTATGCATCACATCCATTAAAAAAAGTTTCCACAGTGTACATTAGTGTACCATTGCATTCAATTGTTTGAGGAATCGTTTTGGACTGTATCAAAGCCAATAGAGATTCACAGATTGAAATGAATGGGAACCTTTCTGAAATTAGTTTTGACCCTTATTAAGGCTTCACATGGCATAGAGATAGAACTGACAAATTAAGTTACGCTACACAGTGAACTGAGATGGAAGAGAAAGAAAAGGAGAACAAGAAAAGGAGCATAAATAGCAAAAAAAAAAGAGAAAGTAAAATGTCTGAAAACTTCTGTATTCCAACAACAGTGTTCCTTTCAGACACACTTGGCTGCAAGTTCTATTTGACTGTGTTCATTTAAATCCATATTTATTGTTATTTTGATGATACAATACCAGCATGAAAGAAACAGTCATGTTGCCATGGATATTTATGACAGAACAGTAAAAGGCTCATAAAAAGTGCAGTCAGCTTCTTATTTTCTCTTCCAGAAAAAAAGCCAACCTTCCCAGGCTACCAGACACCTCAGGTACATATATCAACTGCTACGACTTCTTCCATCCTTCCTTTACATGCCCACACATACATCATGGAAGAGAGGAAAGAACAAGGCAGACATACATCAAGGGAGTAATTTATGCTCAGTTATACTGAGCAAGTTTTAAAAATCTCATGGAATTTTGCAACAGAAGGAATTATTTTTTAATTTTGCTGTTACTCTTTTTTATTTTTTGAGGAAGGGGATGAGTAATAGGGAGTCTTGCTTTCAGCTCCAGGTTCTCACTGTGTTTGCAAGGGCAAAGAAATGCTCAAGAAGATGAGCAGCTTCAGCACAAGTATTCTTCAACTACTATCATAGTGTCATTAAGGTTAGAAAACAACTCTAAGATCACCAAGCCCAAGCTCAATCTACTCCTGTACTTTATAATATATATTATATATCTATATAATTATATATATTTATTATATATCTATAATAGTAAAATAATAAATTTACAGAAATTTAACCTCCTAGCTATCTCTGCTTTGAGTAGGTTACTTCCAGAACAAATTATCCTGTGAACCTTTAGTAAATACTTTACTCCTAGTAAAGAACTTCCCCCTAACATCCAACCTAAATCTTCCCTCCTTCAACTTAAAACCATTTCCCCTAGTCCTGCTGTTATCAGCCCTTTTGAAGAGTTTACTCCCCTCCTGGGTGTAGATTCCCTTCAGGTATTGATAGGCTGCAATGAGGTCACCCCGCAGCCTTCTCTTCTCCAGGCTGAACAAGCCCAACTCCCTCAGCCTGTCCCCATAGGGGAGGTGCTCCAGCCCCCTAATCATCTTAGTCGCCCTCCTCTGGACCCTTTCCAAAATCTCAGTGTCTTTCTTGTACTGAGGGCTCCACACCTGGACACAGTACTCCAGATGGGGCCTCACAAGAGCCGAGTAGAGAGGGACAGTCACCTCCCTGTCCCTGCTGGCCACCCCTCTCCTGATGGAGCCCAGGATCCCATTTGCCTTTCGAGCTGCCAGAGCGCACTGCTGGCTCATGTTCAGTCTCTCATCCATTAGGACCCCCAGGTCCTTCTCTGCCGAGCTGCTCTCAAGGACCGCTCCTCCCAGCCTGTACAGGTGCCTGGGGTTCTTCCAGCCCAAATGCAAAACCTTGCACTTTGCCGTGTTGAACCTCATCAGGTTCACCCGAGCCCAGCCCTCCAGCCTGTCGAGGTCCCTCTGAATGGCATCCCTTCCTTCCACCGTATCAACCGCACCACTCAGCTTGGTGTCGTCAGCAAACTTGCTGAGGGTGCACTCAATTCCCTCATCGATGTCATTAATAAAGATGTTAAAGAGCACCGGTCCCAAGACAGACCCTTGCGGGACACCACTTGTTACCGGCCTCCACCTGGACATAGAGCCATTGACCACCACCCTCTGTCTGCGGCCTTTCAACCAATTGCTTATCCATCGGGTCGTCCACCCATCAAATCCTATTGTTTAACTTGAAAATATTTCCTTCCTTAATACATAAAGCCAGACTGCATAAGTGACTTTTATAACAAGAGCTACTAATAAATTTCCTGGACAAAATAAAAATTAAGTCTCAAAAATGACGTTTTCCATCTGTGTGAGACAAGTCTAAAACATTAGGTAACAATTATACATACAAAATAAATACATAAAAACATAAATAGTATTTATGTATTTTGTATTTTTTTTCAAAATAAAGAATAACAGGTTTCAATGACATCTGAGTAGCTGTGGAGAGACTGGGAACCATTCTCATTTCTTCCACATTAGATGTGTTTTTTCCAGGTATTAGCCTCAACCCACCTCTGAAGTACACTAAGAGATGCTTTAAGAAGTTGCTTGCATTTTAAATTGATTGCTTTTTAATTTTAACGTCTCTTTGGAGTTCAAGAGAATTCTTCTAGTGCTTTTTTTTTATATTAAATATGTCTGATGTTGTTGAAAAACAGAATTGTTTTTATTATATCAGAGAAATTTTCAAGAAATCTTTTCTTAATCAGAACATATTTAGCAGAGCATGAATCCAGCTAGCACTGTTCTGTTACAGCATTACAAAGTTTTCACTCAGAAATGGAGTCACTGATTGAAGATTCCTTCTTCAAAATATGTGTAGTCATTTAAAACTTTCCTCACAGCTTCTCCCCTTAATTTAAAACAGTGAAGAATGGCAGGTACCCATACTTACATGTAGGACAAATCTCTTCTCCCTGTACCATATTTGGACCCTAACCCACGATCAATTATTAAACAAAATATACAATATATACAAAATACACAACAATAACAACAAGAAATGGATCTAATTAGATCACTTGTAAAGCATGCAGTCAATGAGATTGAATGTAATCCAAGGCAGACTTTAATCATTACGATATTTCTGTCTTTAACTTTAAAAATGTCCCCACCCTGAGGATGCAAATATCATTGTTGATGGCCATGCTACTGAAACTTGTATAAATAAAAAAGTACTTAAGCATTTTTGGTAAGTTAACACACAAGTTAATACCCTTTGGGAACTTACAATGTCAAGAGTCATTTGGTGTGGGGTGAGTCATACAGCAGTTACTATTGACAAGACTCTCACAAGGAATTCCACATTACAATAAGTATTCACAGTTTCATGTGACATACCATGATAGTTTCAAATAAAAGTATAAATGGATATTTCAATAAAATGCAACATGATTACCAGCAGCATACAAAACACATGCATAAACTACACCTTTATTTTGTCATCCTGAAACTGCTATAGCTACTCATGATGGTCGTAAATATGTTTTCCACTTAGTTCTATACTTGTTCTACTGAGTTGTTTCACGACACACAAGTAGTTAGAGTGTTCTTAAGGCCAAATAGAGGATATTTTAGTAGACTATGAACAGCGAAGAATGTTCCATAGCATCCTTCCACTGAGCTACAACAGGCCATGTTGCATGATCTCTTTTGCACCAGTGATGTATATCAAATGCCTCTGCATCCCCTCCCCCAAAAGGAGTCTGCATAACTTCTCTCAAGAAAGGAGGAATGAAGTAAGGCTCTAACTGATAACTGGATTTCCTCCATGAAAGAATGAGAATTTCCTAATATTTCAAACTGTTTTCCCTATACCCTATACCCTATTAAAAATCTAGCTTTTGAGAAGCTAATATATAGATATTATATATTACTAGATATAACTCAAATTTTATTAGATATAACATGCATTACAGTTATACTATCAAGATTGTATCAAAATGCCATTAATACAGAATTAATGGGAACTCGAGGAAAACAACTACATTACTTCAACAGAGAGACTGTCACACTAATATTATGTTATAATTGCATAATTAAAAATTCTTGTAGATTCTACACTACAATGGAACAATATTCCTAAACATAAAGTCTGAAGCTGTTTCGTTAGACTACCACAACATTAAATTAATTTAATGTATTAGTTGTATATATATAAATGTAATGCACATACCATTAATAATCTAAAACTTAAACCAGTCCATGAAAACACATTGTAATTAACAGCGTAAAGCATCAGTCAAGTATGACAGGGAAATTTCTGTTCTGCTTATCTGAAAAAATTCAGATATTAAGTCACTACATAT